AAATTGCCGTTCAGGGTCCACGTTTCTGCGGCAAAGTCATGGTTGGCAGCACACACTGGTTGAAAACCTGGGTTTTGAGGTGTTGCGGCAAAATGGTCCTGAATACGTTATTAAGCCTTGCATACGTTGCCCATCCAAGTTGTATCCTTCTGTTGATTTCTACCAGTTGCACGTTTTTATCGAAGGATATTTTCTGTCCCATATATACATATATGTATTCATCCACCGTCCTTACTACCTTGTTGTCACCCAAATCGACCATCGTAGCGTCGCCTGAGTTTGACATTATTTTGTTTTAGTCGCATTCATCTGAAGACCATGGCTTTTTGCAGCGTTGTTTAGGGCTAAGAGCATAGTTTGAAGGTCTTCCATTTTGTCTGCGAGGAGTACGATGTCATCTGCAATACGTAAATATTATCAAGGCACTATGGGTCATGTGATACCTTGTTTGAAAGGTTTTTTAATTCCCTAAACGAATCTGCAAAAAAAATTATCTAGTTACAAATTTGAATTGTCACAAAATGGCGCATGCTTCGAATTAACAACTTTGCTCTCTTGAGGAGGTAAACACTGTCAGGTACAGTGCGAGGAAAGGGGTTCAAAAAAATAAAATCTTGATGATTTCTTCAAAAATATTCATGCTGTTATTCAATTTGTATAAAACCGATTTCAAATCACATTTACCTGTTCCACCCGATCGAATGAGGTTTTCATCAAAATGAGAGTAACATTCAAATCTGGATAATTTTTTTTGCAGATCCGTTAAGAGAATTGAAAGACCTTTAAAACAAGGTATCAAATGACCCATTTAAGATTTTGAGGTGAGGGTAGCTACGGCCGGAGGGGTGATTCAGGGAGACCTGAAAAGTACCTTGTTTTGGTTCCCCCTTCCAACCCTTCAAACCGGTTTTTCATTTCTTTTTTTATCGATTACCGATTTTAAGATATAGGCCATTGACAGTTTTCGGTGGGACACCCGGTATATCCTCTAGAGCTGCAGTAAATATTTTCGGGGAGATTGTCTCACCTTGTCTCACCCCTCGGTTTACGGGTATAGAATTGGTTCCGTCGTAGGCCTGAACTGTCATAGTGGCGTTATCATAGACGGCTTTGATAAGTTGTATGTACTTGTTGTCTATACGGCATCTCCTCAGAGCGTTCAGAAAGGCCCATTTTTCGACAATATCGAAGGCCTTTTGGAAGTCAACGAAGACAAGATATACATATATGTTCATTGTATTCTTGGGATTTCTCAATCACTTGTCGCAATGTATTATAGTGACCCCCTGTGTTGTAACCTCCGCGGAAACCTGCTTGCTTCAGAGGCTGGAAAGCATCTAGTTTCTTAGCGATTCTCTTGTTCAATATTTTTGTTAATAATTTGTAGAGATGAGACAGCAGTGAAATAGGTCTGTAGTTCATTATATCCTCCTTATCGCCCTTTTTTGTACAATATATTAACATTTGCGTTTTTCCAGGAGTCTGGTATTTTCCCGTTATGAAGGCAGTGATTGAAGAGTCCCTCCAGGTACACTAAAAGTTTCCAGCCACCCCTTTTGATGTATTCAATTACTATGCTGCTTTATTATTATTTTTCATTTTCTTCATGGCGGATTTGATCTCATATTTACTTATAGGTGGTCGTTCCTCAGTGTTATGTCTAGTCAGTTTCGCTCTCTTGTCTGTTACTTCATGTTGCCTTCCTGGAACTTTTTCGGAATACAAGTCTCCATAGAATTTCCTTACAAACTCTAATATCTCCGTTCGGGTTTTAATTTTATTTCCATTTTCATCTTTCAGTGTTACTATTTCTGATTTTCCTTCCGATAGTTTTTTCCTAAATAGGTACTCTAGGACCTTTGTTCTCTTCTATCACATCTCGTATTAGCCTTTTGTTGTACCTGGCCACATCCTCTCTCACTTGTCTTCTGATCTGTTTGATTTTTATTTTCAGCTGCTCGATCGTCATAGACCTCTTATTTTCATTTCTGTCCCTAATCATTTCTTTAGTGTTGTCTGAGATTTTACTGTTCTTGTTTGGTGTTTTGTTTCCTGGAATAGTTTTATTTACACTTTCTTTTATACAGTCTGTTATATACGCATTGAGATCGTTTATATTAGTGAAGCTTTCCATTTCTCTGGTTAGCGTAGTTTCTAGGTTATTTTCGAATTGGTCTCCGTTTTGTCGAATATAATAGATATTCTTTCCTGTTCTTTTAGCGGATGTAAGATTCCTCCTCTCATGTTTTGTATTGATTTTGACCTTTGCCCTAACTATCCTGTGATCGCTTACGTACTTGTTGTTGAATGTTATTCACAACAGTAACGTCTTTAATCAGGTGTTTTTTGTTTGTTATGACAAAATCAATCTCGTTTTTTGTTTGGCCATTCGGACTTATCCATGTCCACTTGCGTTGTGGCTTTTTCTGGAAGAAAGTGTTCATTATTTTATATTGCTTTCCTTCCAGGAAATTTATGAGCATCTGTCCTTCTGACTTCTGTGCCATGTGGACCCATACAGGATTCCCCTTCTTCACAATATCAATCTTCGCGTTGAAGTCACCGGCAATAATGTGGAAGTTTGTTTTATTTTCCTCCAATGCTGAGGTTATATCATCATACATTTCTTCAACTTCTTCGTTTATGTGTGTACTTGTTGGGGCATATACTTGGATTATTTTTAGTTGATATCGCTGGGAAATATGTAGTATAATGTATGCGACTCTTGCTGAAATAGACACTGTAGATGTAATATGGTCTGTCCATCTCTCATGCATCAGGAATCTGACTCCTTCCGAGGTATTATCTTTGCTTATGTATATTTCCAGATCTTAAGTGAACAAGGTCCTCGCCAGTTCTTTTGATTTCACACAGTCCAATGATATCCCATTTCGTATTTCGTAGTTCTTCTTCTGGTTGCAGGGTTCTGTCTTCTGTTCTAAGGGCTCTTACGTTGAGTGTCGCTATGTTTAGTAGAGTTTTATTTATCGAGTCTCTGCCTCCTCAGAATCCTTGAGGTGGCCCTTTTTCGAGGGGTGAGATTCTGGATATCTTGCCCTACCCAACTGGGGTCTATCCAGATTTGCTATGATACTCGACATTTGCTTGGAGGTTTGTTGGCCATAAAACGCCACGCTGACCAAACGTGTTGGCGAGTACTGGTTTCAGCCGCTCCTGACATGGAGAACAGACGCTATTGGCATTCGCCCTCTCTGAATCAGACGCTGCATGGGAATCTTTTTAGCTTCACCTTCGAGACCTTAGCGGCATGGGTGGCCCTACCGGTAGCTACGCTACCCCCGGAATCGCTCCCTGGATATAAGGTTACTGAGCCCTGTCACCACGATAAGATATTGATTCTCCCAGAGAGGGGATGGATTACACGAGGTTAAATGTATCATTAGACAATGTCTGACTTGTCTTAGGTTTCGAGCAAAGCCGGCTTTTCAAGTTATGGCGGACCTTCCAAAAGAAAGATTATCAGCAACTCAAGATTTTATTAATGTTGGAGTTTATTTTGGTGCAGTCCATTTATGTTGAAACCCACAAGACCTTATTGCTACTTATGTCCACTCGTCAGGTTTATCCTGCCTCACTCGACACTTTCTTATTGGCACCCCTCTGACTTCTATAACTGATAAAAACATTTTCAATATTCCAGAATATTTCCCTGATGTATAAAAAATCCCGCAAGAGAAATGCAATTATCGGAAATTTACAGTGAACATTTTTTGACAGTTCCATTTTGTTATTTACTGTCATGTGACACAAATCACCCAATCATGTCAACATTATACTGAAAACAGCCCTAGGGTTGTTTTCACTCTATGACATTGCCTTGGACATTGCTGCCGCATAACCCTCGAAAAGTCCTGGTGTTCTTACGATCTGAACAAACTGATCGTGATCACATGAGGTTTGTTCATGAGGCGTCAAAAGAACAGCTGGGGCCAATGAAATCGTTTTAAAACCGGATGAAAATTGTTTGCAACAAACCTCCAGTGACTTCGATCAGTTTGTTCAGATCGAAAGAATACTTCTATTGATAAATGCTCGAACATTTTATAACAAATTTCTCAAGCTTGTTGCTAATAGAAAATAGACCTCGCTAACGCGTCAGTCTGTTTTCAAGCAACAAGCTTTCGAAATCTGTTATAAATGTTTTTCGGACAATTATCAATGTCCTTGGGCTATTACTTCAGATAATTTCTTGAGGCTCACGATATCTATTAAAGGAGTGTATTCATCTACTTCCGGTAGGTGATCAATCTTTAAGTGATTGGTGACCTAACAGTCCATATGTAGGTAGTCTTTAGATATTGTGTGAAAAGATTGCGAATCACGCGGAAAATTTTGATTTTGGAGGAACTCGGTCCTAAGAAAAGCGGTTGCACAATTCAATTTATTGAAAACACACTTTAGTAAAGCGCTTTCGGCTTTCGCCATCATTAGTACTTCTTGTCAAGTTCAGACAGGTATTCTCTATTCTCTATGAAATCCTGAATTTTGACGGTGCTGAGAATTTCAAATTGTTTTAAATCATTATATGTATAAGATTGTTTATCGTGTGCAGATCTGTAATTCTAGTCATGTCATAATGTTTTTTTTTATTCTCGTCGTCGCTTTCTTTTTACATTTTAACCTCTATGTCAGAACCTGACAAGTGGTACTGATGATGGCGGAAGCTGAAGGTGCTCTACTGCACTGAGTTTTCAATAAATTGAATTGCGAGTGAAGTAAAAAGGGTTTCCTTTCATAGCATTCTAAACACATGCAAGCGAGCCACCTTTTTCTCTGTAATTTTCTAAAAGCCCTAAGGAATTAAAAAGAAGTCAAAACAGTTATAATGATTAATAAATTTTATCAAGCAATTTACATTACTGGTACTCACCTATGATACCTACCTATCCAATTATTGTGAAATGTCACAATCAAAATTTTTAGTAATTCATCGATCCCCATCATTCTAAAGTTCTCTACAAATCATTATGGCATTCAAAATGCTCAAGTTTTTACCATCACTATTTCACCAAAATTGCCAAAACATTAGCCCGTTGCTAAGCTTTTCAGAAAATACCAATTTGCCGAACATTCGCCACTGCTCCTGCAATGACAGTGCAGAGCAAAACAAAAATCTATCAGCGGTGCTACATGGAAAAACAGATTTGAGAATGGAAAACAGACCTATACCCAAACATGGAGCCAACCAAGTGCTACTGCAAATGGAAGTTGTTGGCATATGTGGTTCAGACGTACATTTTTATCTAGACGGCAAATTGGGCCCGTTTGTTGTCAAAAGCCCCATGGTTATCGGACATGAAGGTTCTGGAACTGTACTGGAATGTGGCGAAGATGTTGTCAATTTAAAACCTGGAGATAAGGTGGCCATAGAGCCTCAAATGAGTTGTAAAAAGTGTAATTTCTGTAAAAGTGGCAACTATCATCTTTGTCCTGATATTTATTTTTGTGCCACCCCACCAGACGATGGTAATTTGAGTAGATACTATGTCCACGATGCAGATTTTTGCCATAAACTCCCATGTTCCTTAGATTTCGAACATGGAACCCTTATGGAACCACTTGCAGTTGGTGTACATGCTTGTAAAAGAGCTGAAGTATCTTGTGGCGATTCAGTATTGATTATCGGTTCAGGGCCTATTGGATTAGTGAGTTTACTAGCAGCAAGAGCCTATGGAGCATCCCGAACTCTTGTCTTAGATATAGATGATTTTAAGATTCAAAAGGCTTTACAATTGGGTGCAGATTGCGCAATTAACGTGAAGGGGTGTGAAGATAAGGCAATAGTTAAATCAATACATGATATTTTTGGTCATCACCCTCATAAAACGATCGAATGTTGTGGTTTTGAAAAAACTTTCAGGATAGGAATGGAAGCTACAAGAAGCGGAGGTAAAATGGCCTTAGTAGGCATGGCTACAGACAAGGCACATTTACCAATAGGCGAATGTATTTTCCGCGAAGTAGATCTCTTGGGTGTATTCAGATATGCCAACGACTATCCAACTGCTATAAAAATGGTTGAATCAGGGATATTTGATCCGAAACCTTTGATTACTCACCATTTTAAATTAGAAGATGCGAAAAAAGCGTTTGAAACTGCAAGTGGTAAGAAGGAATCTTTTATAAAAATTATGATTCATGCTAATCCCAAGTGGCAGCCATTGAATAAAGAGAAATGCTGAAAACAATGAAGAAAATGAAAGACAGCTAAATATAATTTTGTTCTATCCCTGTAATAAATATTTACCTAGCAATTGCGCGATAGGTACCAACTTTTTTCTTCGTCAAACAGTCTTTGGAATATCTCTGTCTTTCTCAACTGACTGCTGGCATTGACAGTGCTGGACATAGGCCTCCCCAAGTGTACTCTGTATTGGGCAAGGTGGTGCCATCTGCTTCCGACATATTTCTTCATGTATTCGAATGCAACATTTTGCGACTCTAGGTCGCCCATTGCACGAATCTGCGCTCCTGTCTTGCAACGTGTCCTACTCAGCTCCACTTGACGTTTAGGATACGCTGAGTAACATCAGATACTTTTGTTCTTTGGAATATTATGTAGTTTCTCATTCTATCCCTCAAGTTCAAACCGAGCATGGCACGCTCCATTGCCCTCTGTGTTGTTCGTGCTTTCCCAGAACTTCTATCGATTAATGTCATTGTTTCTAGACCGTATGTGAGCACTGGTAAGACACATGCGTCGAAAACATTTTCCTTGAGACATATGGGTATATTTGTGTTTTAAAGAATGAAGCCCAGTTTTCTAAAAGTTGCCTACTCTAATTTGACTCGCATGTATATCTCTGCAATCTGGTTCTCTTTACCAAGTTTTTTTAAATATCCTAAACCTACATGCTTTTCCACTTTTTCGATGATCTGTTGAAGTTAGTATAGGTTTTCCTGGCTCATTATCATTAATTTTATTCATGTTCATTTTCAGACCTATTGGTTGTTATTAATACAACAAATTTGGTTTCTGCCCATTGAAATATTTGATTTTGATATGCGCATATTTTTGTCCGCCTTAATGGTTTGCTGGATTTTATATGTGTTGTAGAATTTGATGTCTTTTCTCAATGCATTTTTATGGGTTTAATAATATCTTAATGTTCGTTTGTGTCTCTCGTCATCGTTTTTCTTCGTTCCATGATTTTTATTCTATTTTCGCCTCTGAAATTTTATCTGCCATTTACTTGGGATCGACAGTCAATGGTTTCTATGCTGAAATTCTGCATCGATATGTATACACCATCCCCAAAATTTAAAGTTCATATCAATTTCCTTGCCAAAGATAGAGCTTTGGTGAGTATTTGCGTAGTCACCCCAGTTTGAAAGGATGGAAATCAGATTGGTTTTTTTTCAACACGTAATTAAATCTGGATGAAAATTGGCTTATCTTTGGTTGGATTTTTCCCATATTGCTCTTAGCTTTTAGTTTACTTATGTTTTTTTTAACGGATTTTTTTATAAGTTTTGGCTGGATGCATCCTAATGGATGCATCATTGCTAATGCAAGGTTAAGAGGCTTTTAAAAACTTTTACATCAATTTTTTTTTTTGTTTTTGATAGAATCGACATACGATCATTTAGTGGGAAAATATTCTCTTTTTTCAGTTGATCCCTATTATTAGGGAGTTGCAGTTTTAAGTAGGGGAGATGGGACCTGCGGTGAAAGATGTTACATTTAGCACTAATTGATAGCAATTTATGTAACCAGTTACGAAATCAGTGGTTTTCTTCGAGACGAGTTTTTTTCTGATATTGATTCTATATTATATTCAAATATCTCAGTCTTTCTTTAGTTTTAGCCATTTTAGTTTTGGAAAAATCAAATACCCGCTGCTATCATCTGTTAAACCTACAGGGCCCGTATTCTCGTAACCGGGGAACAGGGTTCTCAAGAGAACGTCTTTGTCAATATGATGGAAATTACAATATGGGCGACTAAGACAGAACAATCGTTCTCTTGAGAACGCTGTTCCCCGGTTACGAGTATACGGACCCTGAAGTTTATAATTTTTTCACAACGCACGATTCCTTTATAGTTCTCTATAACTGGTATGATTTTCATGATAATTTAGCAATTTTAACAAATTTGTTCAATGGTGTTATCAAAGCTCAGCACCATTTCATTACTTCACTCGTTCGCTAGAGGCCTCAGTTGATAGCTCAGAGCTCAACCTCCGAAAAGAGACTTACTAACGTCACGTAAAGCTTAGTATAATGTAAAGCAATTTGAGGTTACATTGATAAAAACCTATTTTACTGTTGAAAATGGGTAAATATTACTTTTTTAGACTGCTTCGTCTTGTGATGATTGAGTAAAAGTTGGAAAATAGGCTTCAATTGGTAAGAACAATGCATCACATTAAATGACAAAAGTAAGGACTGATAATTGGAACTAATCATATTGCACGTTCACGAACAATGCAGCATAGGTATGCCGCTCTATGTTCAGCGACAAAACCCGATATGCCGTTCAGCTTTGAGGCACCAAAATGGGAAAACCTAAATTGCCGCGCCTCAATACGTATGAAATAATGGGTAGCCAGGCCCGTTGTTCCAGCAAAAATCAAAATATATCGTGGAATGTTTCATCATAAATTTGTATTAAATCGAATATTCTAGTTGTAAATACATAGTGCCAAAAAAATCGAATATTGTTGATGTTTTCAATTAGTATTTACAAGGCTTCTCTAGCTATTGGGAGTCTACGCGCTTTTACCTCATGAAATTAGTTGGGATCAATAACATCATTTACAAGTCTGTCATCAACTATCTACAATCTGTCGAGCAATCCTCGACTTCTTAAAAACATGTAACTATCTTCCAAGATATTCATTCTTTCGTGGGTTTATATATTTTTCAATTTTTCAATAATACACCCTCATGTTCATCAGCTGCATTTACTGGTACAGTAAATTTTGACGTTAAACGTGCTGCATCATGTCCTATAATATTTCTTAGAACTGATACGATTTACATTAAGATTGGCCTGGTCTTGGACATTAGTACCTACGTTAGATTTTCATAAACTATCATTTGACACTAAGTTTGAATTTGACAGGAGATTAAATTTAACCGGAATTTTGAATCATGGATTAAACTCAGAGTTGCTGTGAAATGATAGTTTATGAAAAACTGAAACAGGAATGTAAAATCGGTTTTCCTTCAAAATTAACCGTTTAGGTTTAACAGCCTGTCAAAGTCAATTTTCAATTGTCAATATTTCCAAAACAGTTGATCTCAGGTATTAAAGTTTAGTACCAAAATGTATGGAATTAAAAACCCTCCAAAATGATGTATCACTCGACCCTCCTTCCCGCATTTAAGAATTTCTAGGGGTTGGCTCTGGCGGCTGTGGGGTTGAAAGGGGGGAGGTGAATTTTGCATAAAAACTCTTCCCCCTTCAAATTATAGTTGAGGTGTTTCAGGGATTTTTCCGAACATTTTTCAATTCTGAGATAATAGGGGTGGTAAGTTTTAAAATGAACATGCTGTAGATAAAAAAACAGTTTGGCCCTGAAGTAGAATTGATAAGTACTTGTTAGGGCAATTCCTTTATTATTATTGAAATTTCCATACCTATAGGAAACAGCTGGCGTTCATTAATAGTTCTGTGGTTGGTAATTCTGAAAATGGCATCAAGGATAAAAATTGCAAACTATTAAACCGTCACAAACTTATAGCAGCAATAAACTTGAAGGGAGAAAAATGGTGAACTGTAAAGCTGCCTTAATATTTCAAAATAATCCTAATCTCTACTAAACAAAAAGATTTAAACATCATATTTAAGACTTTTGAGAAAATAGTACCTACCTATTATATCGACTTAGAAAAAACACATCGTGCAGATCTGCGATGTTGCAAAATAACTGGTATCGATAAAATTAAAGTACGGTTTTAAGAGGTGCTATTTTTGCTCCTAAATGCGTTTCCAAACCCCCTATATACCAGTTACAGAACTTTTATTTTCGTGCATGCCCCGAATATGCTAAATTTTGATATTAAAAAAAAAACACAGGCAGTTAAGTACATCGAATAAACAGAAATGTCATAGCATAAACATAAAAACCTAAACTGTGACCAAATTGAATCAAATTTTCATACGTGCAGCCGAGAATAAATGTAATTAATTTATAATCCTGGCTGCGCGAACGTGAGTATTTATACACTACAAGGATAATTCGTCGTGTTTTAACAGCTCCGAGTTGCTTTTTGCGGAGGTGTCGGTCACGTTTTTATACTTTTCTCGTCACTCAATCTACTTTTTTTTTGGAGGATTTCATATGCCCGATAAATTTTTTGCCAATAAAATGTAGGTATTTGAAAAAATATTTTCAAACTCTTTTTCTATTTGCAGGGCTAGAGAGAAGTTCAGTGACATCCGTGACATCTGTCCATATTTTTAGGTAAGTTTGTGAGTTTGCAAATAGGTATTTATAATTAAGCGGTAATTTGAAATTAATACTCATTTAAGTAATAAAAAACAGATTTGTTTCCATGTCTATTCTAAAAGTAATGTAAAAATATAAGCTGATCCTGGATGATAATTGCTTCAAATTTGGTTTCTCTAAATTCTCTAGAATATTGAATATTTTTCTTTGGCACCGCTGGTCAAGCTTCCTAAAGGTAATAGTCAACCATCCAAGGACCTTTTTTTTCAGTTATACATGTAAACCCCATACTTTGTGAGTGGCTTGCTTACATAAGTCCTACAACTTTTCCTCTACGACTTTTCTCGGAAATGGCACGTATGCGCGCAGGCGACTCGCAAACATGTCGATCTGACGTAGCTATGTTTCCTGATACATGTAGGTAAATCTAATTTTACGAATACTGTTTGATTTTTATGGCTAAATCACGGAAATCAACTTGGCCGACAAAAATAATGGCAAATTGGGGGAGTCCGATACCCCTAAAATGTTTGCGAGTCGCCTGCGCGCATACGTGCCATTTCCGAGAAAAGTCGTAGAGGAAAAGTTGTAGGACTTGATGTAAGCAAGCCACTCACAAAGTATGGGGTTTACATGTATAACTGAAAAAAAAGGTCCTTGGATGGTTGACTATAATAGGTTATCTAGTAATGGGTAATTTGATGATACCTGGGGTGTCTTATGGAGATTTGCATTAAGTTTAGGCATACAGATGACGTCGTAAAAGTTATCAGGCAACTCTCCTC